CCACCACATGCTAAACCCTGGCACCAGGGAGACAGCAAACCATTCAGTTGAGGCGATCCAAACTATTCTATCAGTCCTTCTGATTATAGAATCCCCTACTCCACCAGCTGTCTAGGCCTCCCTGCACTACCCTCACCACCCCCCCTAGATGGTCTGCCCTGCCAGTTGTTAGGGATAGCAGTGACATCCAGGGCTGCCACCCCATCTTCACCCAACTTGGAAAATCTGAGTGCACAAACCCAAGGCCAACCTTCCTTTTCTGTGAACCCCTACCACTCCCTTTCATTACAGTAACCCATCTTCCTACCTAATAATCCTGATTAGCCACTCCGCCCTCCACATCAATCCCATTAGCTACCTATTCAGACAGCAGAAGACCCCTTTCAAGGTTGTCAGTTCTGCCCAGTGTTGCAACTTGCTCCTCCAGATCTCTAACGTGGGTTTCCAGAAGGGCAACCTGCTCACATCTGACGCAGCGGTATTCATCCTGGAGCTGTTGCTCCATTGTTTCATACATGCAGCACACTGTGCACTGCACAAAACCTTCCTCCCTGCTAGCACACATTATCCCAGTTACAATATTTATAGGAAATTTCAGTTGTCACTTACAGGTTAGTAGACTCCTGGTTATAATCTCCTGTTTTCCACTCCGGTTTTTTAACTCCACTTAGTCAAAGATCCAGCAAGAAAAATACAGGCAAGCTCAGAGTGAGCTCTACAGCAAGTTATTTAGCACCTGTATCACCTGTGACCAATTAACCCCTCCCCTTAGTTAGCAGACTGAAGGAGGGCAAAGAAAGGAAGACAAAAAAATGCTATTTAAAAAGTGCTAAAAGCTTTTACTTTTTTTTTAATCACTTTTTCTGTCAAAGACCCAAAGAAGAACATAAAACTACTACAAGTACCAGCAGTCAAAAGTAAAATGTTTTCACTTTCCACTCAAATTTCCCACTCTTTTTAGCTATCAGCCAGCAAAAATGCTTGTGCTGTAGTGAGAAATGCCAGATCACGTCCATGTACGTGATCTGGCACAGCGGGACTGCTCTGCCACAGTAACACTGCAGTGAGTGGTGTAGAAGTGATTAAAGTGTATTTTTCCCCCTCAAAAAAATTTGAGTTTGAGAAAATACCGTGTGGCATAAAAATATGCAACACTCACCATTTTAATCTCTAGGGCCTCTGCTTAAAAATATATATATAATTTTTGAGGGTTCTAAGTAGTTTCCTAGCACAAAAATTATGTTTTTTTTACATTTATTACAGGTACTTCTATAGCACCATCAATTTACACAGCACTTTACACACACACTATATATATATATATATATATATATATATAAAAATAAATATTGTACATTCACAGCAGTCCTTACCTCTCAAGGAGCGTACAATCTAAGGTCCCTAACTCACATTCATCATACACATATTGGGGTCAAATTAGAGAGGATCCAATTAACCTACCAGCATGTCTTTGGAGTGTGGGAGGAAATCGGAGTACCCAGAGGAAACCCACTCAGGCACAGGGAGAAAATGCAAACTCCAGGCGGGTGGTGCCGTGGTTGGGACTTGAATCCATGACCCTAGTATTGCCAGGCGGAAGTGCTAACCATTTAGTCACTGTGCTGCCCCATTTAGGAACGGAAAGTCAGACTTGGCCCAGACTGGAAGTGGTTAAACTTCTGGAGTACAAAACTGCAAAGGACTGAGGTAAGGAGAGACAATCTTTCAAGAAAGGCATCCTCCAGGGTCCACGCAGACAACATGCAAATGTTTGCACTGGCAGATTTCTAATATGTCACTAGCTAAGGTCAAAGATAGACGCTTGAAAAGAAACTAAGTGTAAATGCATTTTTGCAGAACAGATATAACCACTTCCCTTTACAGCAATTTTTCACACACATTAAAAAAAAAAAATCAACATTTTAGGCCATAGAATTACTTAAATGTTCCAGAATCTTTTTTTATTTTACAAGGCCTCTGCATTCAGAAAAAAATAAAGATGGTAGTTGTTGTATTTTTTTTTTTAATGTTACACAACTGGTTATTGACTCAATTTTTTCAGAATTATAAAAACACCGTATGTTTTAATGGCCATAAACACAATTTAATCTCCATTTTTTTGTACAAAATAAAAAGTGAGGTAGTGTTGAGTAAATAGATACCAAATATGTCAAGCTTTAAAACTTCATGAACCTGTGAAATGGCAAAAAAATGCAATACTCAACATTAGCAATAGGTAATGCTTTAAAGCCCAAGTTTAAACTTCCCCCCACTTTCTTTTTCAAATTAGCACAAGGGACAGTACTTACTATCAATGCAAAGAGTATGCCTGTCCTTTCTGTACCCTCCTCCATTCATATGATTCAGAAGACTTCAGATTTATTTTACTGTTCCTTGCATGAATATAAAAAGAAAAGTGTTTCACTAAACTTAGGCTTAAAATTCATTTACAGCTCATCAGTTTAGAGTTAACCATAAATGGAGGACCAAGAATTATTGCTCTTACATGTGCTGCAATAAATCACATATGCAGGGGCGGACTGACAACTCATGGGGCCCCCAGGCAATAGGGGATCATGGGGCCCCTGTGTCCTTGCCCAAACTCAAAAAAGCCTATGAAAAAAGGTACCAGGGGCATCTCATGGGGCCCCCTACTGATCCCAGGCCCTCGAGCAGTGCCCTAGTTTCCAAATGGTCAGTCCACCCCTGCACATATGGCAAAATCATTTACATACACATGTGCTCTGTGGATGCTTTTGTAATTGTATGTGTGACTGTGTTGCAACAGGGGTGATTTTAATTGTTTTTTTTAGAATACACATTTTACCTCTTTCTGCACTTAAAGGGATTCTAAAGACATTTTTTAAAATAACAAAACATATACATACCTGCTTTGTGCAACGGTATTGCAGAGTGGTCTTGAACCTCCTCCTCTTCCGTGTCTGCCCCCATAGCAAACAGCTTGCTATGGGAACAGACATTCGGGCGGTCTCCTGAGCCATGCGTGGCTCAGCCCAAGCTCCTGCTCCCTCATCACAGGCCTTAAATGACAGCAGCATGAGCCAACTGCACAGAGACTAGCACCGCTGCAGATGGTTTTACACAGAGCAGCCCAATCCTGCTCTTCTGGGGTCCCCCTCCAGCGCTCCTGGCCCCTTCCCCCTGCCAAGTGCCCCCATAGCAAGTGCCTATTGACACAGAGCACGGCTCAGCTCTGTCCCCTGTTCCCTCCTCACTGGCTGTGATCAACAGCAACCAATGGCTGTCTCTCTGTCCAATGCGGAGGAGAGAGAAAAAAAGATTGTTTTGGGATTTTTAACTAGTTTAAACATACTGTATGTAGTAATACTGTATATTACATCATTGCTTAGTTGCAGCTTTGCTTACAACTTAAAGGTTGCTTCCTTTTTAATGTAAGCACGTTTATAAAACCCAAACGCACTCTAATAAACTTTGGAACAGCCTTGGAAACATGCCTAGTGTGCTTGTGTCTGTTCACTCGCTGCAGCGAAAGTGATAACAACAACTAGGAGCCACTAATCAATGCTTTCACAGAACTTTGCTGTGAATAACTAAACTTCAAAACAGTGTTGCACTGAGACATTTCTTGATTAGAGAAAACACTGCACAACTTGGGTTATGCAAATGGTCTTTATTTTCCATATCTAGGGAAAATGAAAGAATTACTTTTCCCAAAAGAACTTCCTAGTTATCCCTGCTACATTCGAAGATTAACACTTTTACTGACAAGCTTTTTTTTTGCACCAATATACAAAATGCTCATTGCCTACTTAAGAACACACTTAAAAGCCCAAAAGCATATTTTTTTCTAAAAGCAAGATACTTTTAAAACAAATAGTGGTAGTTGCAAATTTTTATGTCACATGATATTTAAGCTATTATTTATCAAATCTATATTTTTCAGTAGAAAAGTACTCAAAATAATTTTAGCATATGTTAGATAATGAGTTTATGTGAAATCTCCATTAAATACTGTAAATAATATTGTAATTCTGAATATATTTCAGTTAGAGCTGTATCAGTCTGGGTGTGCAATATGTATTCCCATAAATTCCTGTTCTATACTGTAGATACCATAGTTGTCAAAGGGAATATTCTATTAATTACACCTTCTTTACTGTATAACAGACATCTTTGCTGAGAATCCTCTTTCAGACAGGTGGGTGCCAGAGTTAGTTTATTTAACAATGGGACAGACATATTGGGTTCCCAAATATGCACTTCAAATGATATCTCATTTAGATATGCAATGAAGATGGCCAGCCATTCATGAATACTTAGTTTCCCAGGAAAAGGTCATGAACTGGCATGCTTAAATTCCATAAAGGGGGTGCCAAGATTTGCCTAAATTATGTTGGTGTATGCTAAATACAGGGGATTTGAAGTTAGCCAATTATGAAAGGGAATAGACTGGCCAACCAATCAGAGATACTTTATGAAAATTAATTGAGGAGAGGCCTATAACTATGGACACAAGAGAGAAAAAGAGCCTCTCTTTGGAACACCAGAGGAAGGGAATGGAACTTTTATGTCCAGTTCCATGGTAATTATGGAATATATCCCTTGCACTTGTATTTAAATATTTGTCTTGTGTCTTTTCTGTATCACTATTTGTATTTTTGTATTGTGTTCGAGCTTTCTTAACCTTCCTAGTGGTTTTCCCGAGTCTGACTCGGGGTAAATCTAGCTGTTAAAAGCGGTAACTCCGAGCCAGACTTGGGGTCACCGCAAACGAAATACCTGGTCCCTGCGATCCGTGTCCCGGGTCCTGAGCCGTATGAAACCATCCCCTCCGTCCATCTCCTATCTTTCCCTGCTTCCCTGGTATCTCGCGCTGATCAGTGTAATCAGCCTGAGCAAGCCATGCTGTGCCGTTGGGGGGGCGGGGCTTGCGGTAGGCGCGAGTTATAAAAATAGATCAGTGTCAAAATAAAGTGTTACTCTAGTGCATACATTGTAACTTTACCTCAGATATTTCCATGAGCTACTTGAACTGAGTGATAGCGACTCATGTGACAATTTGTCTTCAGACACCGACAGTGAAGACAGTGGCGAATCTGAGATTGACGTGAGTGATCTGCTCATGTGGTGCACTATTGATTGCGGTACGCCAGCGCCACCAAGATTTCCGTTTACCGGCACGCACCTGGTATGAAAGTCCACATTGAAGGTGACAACCTCTCGTCGTACTTAGAATTGTTTCTGACTGATGAGGTTATTGAAATTATCGTGACGGAGACAAATAGGTACTGTTATGGACCAACCGGTGGTAGCCTCTAGCGCTCCACAGACCAGAATTCCCCAGGGTGCGGAATCTAAGTCCCGACCTGCTTGTTCACCAGAGCCCCTGATGTTGGGGATGGACTTGGAGCAAGCCGAAACCAGGTCGCGGCCCCTGGGTGCAACCAGCTGTGGTAGAGGCACTTGTCGGTGGTACGTAGCAGGTGAGAGTCTGATGTGAGGAGGCGGAGTGAGCGAAGTCAGACAGGCCAGGTCGGTAACAGCGGAGGCAGGTCAGTAAAAAGGGCAGGCAGAAGAATAAAACGGGTCACGGTCCAGGTTCGGCAACAGGAGATCAAAAGGTACAGGATTAGACAGTAGAATGGTCAGAGAAGCCAGTGGTCAGAGCAGGAGACAGTCAACGAATCAGGGTCAGGCAGGGTCGGCAGCAAAGCAATCTCTCAGGACACAGGATACAGGAAAAGACCATACGGCAACTAAGGCACAGTCAGAGCCTGTTTAAATAGGGCGCCCTGCCCTCCTATTGGTGCCAGGCGCGTGTCCGCGTTCGCAAATGCGCATGCGCGAGCACCGTTGCCGTTGCGGGCGCCCAGGTCCTAGTGCCCGCATGCTAGTGCGCCCCGGCATACCGCGCATGCGCAGACTTGTGCGCCGCGGTCCAGCCCGAGATCCCTGACAGGTACACAGTGCAACAACTAGTTGCTCCACACAGCAGGTTTTCACGAAGCAGAAAGTGGGAACCTGTGACAAAAGAGGACATTTGGGTGTTTCTCGGCCTAATTGTTCTGCAAGGAGTGGTGGGGAAACCGCTGCAGAAGTGGTACTGGACCACCAACAAAATGCTTGCCACGCCGTTCTTTGGCACAGTCATGTTGGAGTACAGCTTTTCCCTTATTATGAAGTTTTTGCACTTCGCAAATAATGAGGATTTTGATGAAACAACTCATCCGGCTCCCAAGCTAAAAAAAATTTGGGAAGTCTCCCAAATAATTGTAAGAAATTTCCAGCAGAGCTATGTGCCAGAGAGAGACATTAGCATAGATGAAAGTCTAATGGCCTACAAAGGAATGCTCAGCTGGATACAATATATCGCATCCAAGAGTGCATGATTTGGTGTCAAATCCTACCTGCTGTGCGAATCCTCTACTGGCTACATATGGAACACAGTTATATACACCGGTTGTTAAGCACCGCCTGGTGGCGTCTCTAGCAGCCCACAGCACGGGATTCCTCAGGTGCGGGGTCTAAGTCCCAATCTGATTATTCACCAGGGCCCCTGATGGTAGGGATGGACTTGGAGCAGACTGAGACCAGGTCGCGGCCCCTGAGTACGTCCGGCAATGGTAGAGATCGTCGTCAGAGGTGTGCGGGGAAAGGAGTCTGATGTGAAGAGGCTGGCAGACCTGGTAACAGGGACAGATCCGTGCGGGATGGATGGATCATCTGGGTAACGTAAGGCGTAGTCAGGCAGGCCAGGTCAGCAACGTGTGGGCAGCGAGGTACTGGAGGAGCAGGCAGAGAATGGTCAAGGTCACGAGCCGGGTTCAGTAACTAACGGGCAGCACAGTACAGAGGATCAGGCAGAAGGATGGTCAGGCTAGCCAGCGGTTAAACAGGAGACGGTCAGCAGGGTGGGGAACAATGCAGAGGCCGGCAACAGCAGATTCACAGGATCAGATATCAGGAACAGAGCAGATAAGACCAAACGGCAATTTGACATACCTCCTGTCCTGTTTAAATAGCCCGCCCTGCGCTGTCATTGGTGCCAGGCGCGTGTCCACGATCACGAGTGCGCATGCGCGGCCGTCGCGATTGCCCAGGTCCCGCTGCTCGCTAGCTAGGGTGCATCGGTGTTCTGCGCATGCGCCGCCCGGTGCATCGCGGCAGAACCACCGATTCCTGACATTGCCCCCCCTATGGACAGCCGCCGGATGCCCAATTGTTCTCTCCTGCGTGGGCGATTACGAGAAAACTCCCGAATTAGTCTAGAGGCATGGATGTTCTGGGCTGGTTCCCATGAGTTTTCCTCCGGGCCGTAACCTTTCCATTTAATGAGGAATTGGGTCTGGCCTCTCCTTTTCCTGCAATCTAGAATTGTTTCGACCTCAAATTCCTCTTCCCCATCAATGTTAATGGCCTTCGGAGGTCTAGATCTCTGGTTAGGGAATGAATCCGGTGCCACGGGTTTCAACAAGGACACGTGAAAAACTGGGTGTATTTTAAAGGATTCGGGGATTATGAGTTCATATGCCCTCGTTAATTTTCCGTTTCACCTTGAATGGACCCATGAATCTTGGTCCTAATTTCCTTGATGGGCAAGACATTTTCAGGTTTGTTGTGGCTAGCCAGACCTGGTCCCCAGGGTGCAGAACAAGTTTGCCTGTCCTCCTCTTATCGAAGGCCTTTTTACTATCTTTTTGGGCTCTTGAGATAGCCTCCTGTAGAACCTTGTTATTCGCTGAGAAGAACTGTAACATATCCTGTGTAGCTGGTACTGGACTCTCTGGAATCGTGTCGGGTAGAAATGTGGGATGGAATCCGTAGTTGGCGAAAAACGGAGATTGTTGAGTAGCAGAGTGGCTTGCATTGTTATATGTGAATTCGGCCAGTGGCAAGAGAGTCAGCCAATCATCCTGGAGGAAAGAAGTGTATCTACGGAGATACTGCTCCAGAGTCTGGTTTGTGCGTTCCGTCTGCCCGTTGGTCTGTGGATGGTATGCCGAAGATAATGACAGTTTGATTCCCAGGGTCTCGCACAGTGCTCTCCAGAATTTAGAGGTGAACTGAACCCCCCTATCTGAGACGATGTCCTTTGGGACCCCATGAAGTCTTACCACTTCCTTCACGAAGACTTGTGCTGTCTCTGCAGCTGCGGCATGTTCCTTAGAGGCAGGAAATGGACCATTTTGGACAGGCGGTCCACCACCACGAAAATGGCGGTATGATCTTGGGATGGTGGGAGCTCCACGATGAAGTTGATGGAAATCATCTCCCATGGCCTGTTAGGTATGGGTAAGGGTCGTAGCAGACCCCAAGCCTTGCTCCTGGAGGGCTTGTTTCTCTGGCAGACGGCACAGGTTTTCCCATACGCTTCACAATCCTTAGTCATGCTGGGCCACCAGAACACACATTGCAGCAGTTCCAATGTCTTCTGCACCCCGAAGTGGCCAGCCAAAGGATGATCATGGCAGTGACCCAAAACTGCGGTACAGGACTCTTTGGGCACCATGATCCGTCCCTCCTTCCACCAAAGTCCTTCCTTACTTTGCAATGAAACTCCTGGTGGGCTCGGCATCCCTACGAATGCAGCCTGCAGTTGGGACCGTACCTCGGTCTGTAGAGCGAGGAAATTCCCAGTAGACAGGATGGTGTCCGGATTGTGGGGTTCTTCAGGGTCTTCAAACATACGCAAGAGTGCGTCGGGTTTTGTGTTCTTCGATCCCGGCCTGTATGTGATGTGGAACACAAACCTCGAGAAAAAGAGTGCCCACCTAGCCTGACGTGGCCTCAAGCGCTTCGCCGTCCTCAGGTACTCCAGATTCTTGTGGTCTGTGAAGATCAGGATTGGGTGTGTGGCTCCCTCCAGTAGGTACCTCCACTCCTCTAATGCTGCCTTGATGGCCAGAAGTTACCGGTCCCCAATATCATAATTCCTCTCCGCAGACAAAAGTTTTCTGAGAAGAAGGCCACAGGGTGCATCAGTTCCTTGACACGCTTCCTCTGAGATAGCACAGACCCTACCCGCGTTCTCGGACGCGTCTACCTACAGAATGTAGGGCAACGAGGAATCTGGGTGGCTCAGTATGGGGGACTTGGTGAACAGCCTCTTCAAGGACTTGAAGGCCATCTGTGCCTCAGGTGTCCACCTAAACGCACCCCTTGTCTGGTGAGTTGGGCGATGGGGGACACGACGAGGCCTGAAAATTTTTTTTTATAAATTATCTATAAAAATTGGCGAAGCCAATGAATCGCTGCACACCATTCTTGTCCACCGGCACCGGCCATTCCAAAATCGCAGAGATCTTTTGGGGGTCCATGGCTACTCCAGTGGTGGAAATGATTAGTCCCAAGAAGGAAATGCTGTGTTGCTCGAAACTGCACTTCTCTGCCTTTGCGTACAGCCCATGTTGAAGGAGCCATCCCAGCACACTTCTAACGTGACCTCTATGCTCTTCCAGGGACGCAGAGAAAATCAGGATGTCATCTAAATAGATGACCACAAAAACGTCCAGAAAATCTCTGAACACACTATTGATGAAGTGTTGAAAGGTTGCTGGGGGCATTACACAGAACGAAGGGCATCACCAAATACTCGAAATGCCCAAACCTAGTACGGAAGGCTGTCTTCCACTCATCTCCCTCCCGAATGCGGACCAAATTGTAAGCCCCCCTTAGATCCAAATTTTGTGAAAATGGATGCTGTCCTGAGCCTCTGAAATAATTCTGGCACCAAGGGAAGCGGGTAGCGGTTCTTTACCGTGATCTTATTTAGTTCCCTGTAGTCCACGCAGTGTCTCAGGGATTTATCTTTCTTCTCAACAAAGAAAATTCCCACCCCGGCCGGGGACGTGGAAGGGCGAATGAACTCCTGGAGATTCTTATCTATATACTCCTTAAGTACCCCCAATTCTCTCTCTGAAAGGGGAAAAATTCGCCCGAAGGGTACCTCAGATCCTGAAGCAGGTCAATCGGGCAGTCATAGGGCCTATGTGGGGGAAGGTTGTCCGCTCATCATTTGCTAAACACGTCAAGATAGCTGTGGTAGGCCGGGGGAATGAGTTGTGTCAGTTCTGCGTCAGTGTCTAAGCATAACAGAGAGCGTGGAGCCAAAGGCGCCTGGGAACAGCAATGCTCCCGACAGTATGGGGAGCTGAACTGGAGGGTACTGGTTTTCCAATTAATCTGGGGTCGTGTGCCCGTAGCCAAGGAAGCCCCAGAATAATTGGAAACAGAGGGGATGCGATGGCATCCAAAACGAAGGAACTCTTGATGGTGCCCAGCCACCGTAACACAGAGAGGTGGCGTCTCCCGGCCTACCACTCCTGATTTGATTCGGGACCCATCGGCCAAAAAGATGTTTAGCCCACATTCCTTGGTTTGTAGGGGGATCTGATGCTGTGCTGCAAAACCTAGATCTACAAAGCAGCTACAGGCCCCGGAATCAACGATTGCGGTCGCTGACACGGTCCTTGCAGGAAGCTGAGATAGGTACCTGAGCTAAGTAACTAGAACTGGTTTGTAGGGTTGGAAGACGAGGGGGGGGTTGGGGGGTGGTGGTGGTGGGGGGTAGGTGGGGAGGGGATGTTAGGCAAAGCACCCTGCACTGGGACACGGGGTAACACCCACGTAGGCCTCTGACCCTGGCCGGATCTCTCCATCCTGCGTTCCCGCAACCGTCGGTCAATCTGGATGGCCAGAGTGATGAGGTCTTCTAACGTGGCTGGTATACCCACCCTGGCTAATTCGTACTTTAATGGCTCGGACAAACCTATGCGGAACTGGTGGAGCAGGGCCGCATCGTTCCACTGCGTATCCCCCATCCAACGCCTGAATTCTGCCGCATACTCTTCGGCCGCCCTACGACCCTGTCGGAGTGTTTGTAGGGACGATTCGGCCAAAGCTGTTCGTTGGGGGTCATCATAAAGAAGTGCCATCGCCTCAAAGAAGGTTAAAACCGACTCCAGCTGTGGTTGACGGGTCTCCAGTAAACGGTGGGCCCAGGCCTGGGGTTCGTCCTGCAGCAGCGAAATGACAAATC